TTTTTTCCCTACTACTTTATAAAAATTAATCTTGCTGCTAATTGTTAGGTCTTTTGCTGGTGGGTGCTTGAGGGAAAATACTAATGTTCACCCTTGGAAATGTCAGGGCAAGCACTGTTCAGGAAAACTCAGGCTGTCAAGACATTTGGTGGGTACCTTAGTTGGGGGATGCTATAACGGAACACTATAGAAGGGCACTAATTTTATGCATGGGAGTCCCATTTTCATGACCTAATGACCTCCCCAATGACCCACTCCAAACACAATGCATTTGGGGATTTAAGCATTAACATATGAATTACAGGGAGACACAAATCTTCAGCACATAGCAGCAGGCAGGATGGCAATGCGATGTAATCAAGCAATTGCTGGACTTGGTCATTGTCTCAGTTCTATAAATCACTCATGCATAGGGAGACTTTGAACTCTTTGAGCCTTTGTTTCCTTTTATATAAAATGAAAGACCACATTTTATGGAGTTGTTTTGAGAGTCAAATGAGATAGTGTATATGAAAATGTCTTAAAAGTTATAAAAAGCCATACAAATATGTGTTACCATACTGAGCTAATATGTAAGTTACCTCTTACTCTATCACCTACCTCATTGATGTCCTCTCCTCTCCCCACAACCCCAGTGAGCACCCCTCCACCACCTACCACTGGTTTCAGATAACCTGACCAAGGGACACCAAGGCCAACCTACCTCTTTCTCTGGTGCATTCCCTCCACTCATTCTTAAACACATGCGCCAGTAAGGAAAACATGACAAAGTAAACTTAGAAGATTTTCCACTGCTGCCCCTAACCTACAACTTCCAATATAGAAAGAGCTCAACACCAACCTGTCATGAGAAGGTTGTTTTTCTGAATGCACTAAAATATTTTCAGTATTATGCTCTTAAACGATCTCATCTCAATGCCGGTGAAATGAAACAGCACTTAACTGGAAAACCAGTTACCAAAGAAACAAGCTTCACTTTGTATTACTTCCCATACCTAGACAGGGAAGGAAAAAAAAATTTGGATGAGAACAAAAGCTAAAATGCATGGAACATGTACTAGGAGCAAGACACTCTCCTGAGTATGGTCAGATATAAAGCTGAAAGCATGATTCATTCGCATATAAAGTGAGTACATGGCAAAGTTTTTTTTAACTCATTGAGAGAAGCAACAGGATGATTCAAAAAGAAGTAGAAGGACTAAAGTGTTTCTAGAGACCAAAAAAAAATTTCACTTGAATAATACTTAATATTCATAATTTAGATAAAAAATGATCTCCTATCTTACAGGCCAGTAGAAACAGGGTGCTCTTGGGGTGACCTTTTCAACCCAGAAATCACTTTCATCCCTTTTGCATTGCTGTTTGCCAAGCATCATTTGTATTGCAAACAGTTTTCTGCAAGTTAACTTTTGTACCTACAGATAGTAAGATAGTAATTAGTAAAGCACAAGTCAAACAACAGAGCCCAGTTAGAGAACCAGGTAACCCCCCCACCCCACCCATCTACACACAAGCCCTGCTCACCACTGAAAAGACTTACTAATGTCCAAATGTTGGATAATTATTCTGAACAGTCCCTTATACACCTTATACAGTAGAACTGAATATTCATCATTACATAAGAACTATACAATTTTGAAAAGTGAGTTTTATTAATCACTTTCAGACAGAAGAAACTGAAGATCAAGGTCAAGAAATTTATCCAAATCCCACATGAAAATGATTACTCAAATCTGTTTGATTATGAGGCTCTTGCTCCTCTTACCACCATGTATATATTTAAAAAAAAAACAAACCTTTAATTGAAAAATGACATTCATCTAGTAAAGTGTATACATTTCAAAAATATAGTGATATACATTTAAAGAAATCCAGGGGCTGGGGATTTAGCTCAGGGGCACAGTGCCTGCCTGGCAAGCACAAGGTTGTGAGTCTGATTCCCGGTACCGGAAAAAAAAAAACCAAAAAATAAATAAATAAATAAAAATAAAAAATAAAAACAAAGAAATCCAACCCTAAGTATAAAATATCAAACTACAATGAATACACAGAGCTCTAACTTCATAGTGGCTCCTTTGTATTAGGGATCTAGTAAACACTTCACGCTCAGTTAATGTTTATAACAAAAGCACAACTTTCTTTTGTCTCCTAAGTGGACTTTGCCACTTTCTGATCAATGTTTTATGCTGGTTCACATGTGATCATTTACCGCAAAGAAGGCAGATTCAGTAATTTATACAAAATTTGTAGTCTCTGACTGCAAATACACTGAACTTAATTTTAAAGTCTAAAACTGTATTTCCGAATGTGTAGTTATTTTTGTTCCTGCTCCACAAACTAAGAAAACTTAGGGTTCTAAGTTTTCATCCAGCTCTGTGTGCCACTGCAGGAGCAGGGACCTGGAAACCTATTCTGCCATGTGGGAGAAGGACCTTGTTTTCAATTTTGTTTCCAGAACTTTCTTTATCCCTTCTGCCATTACCATGCATAAGTTTGAAGTTTCTTTACTGTGTCTGATGTGTCTTTTCTTCAACCACATTGCCTGTGACATTTCAGACAAAATTTACCCTCAACAGAAAATCGGAAGTAGCTCCTTAAGCCTGATGCACTGCCCCTCTCCTAGTTGGGCATGGGCTTAGTTCTCCATTCTGGGGTCAGCTGTCAAGGTTGCTCAGTGCCCAGTCTCCTGAGGGACCCTACTCCTCTGGCATTGCTCCCATTTGGCCCCTCAATCTCCCAACCCCCTCTGCATTGTAAGTCTTGTTCCTCCATCTTGCTGCCTGCATTGTCATATATTTCCTGGATAGAGCTGACGGTGATCTTGGATCCAATGATGGGTAAAGTTAGAAGAAAGCTACCTTCACAGGTCAAGCAGTCAGGAAATTGGGCCGACCTTCCAGACAACTGCAAGAGACTGCATTTGGCTCATCTGCTATAGTACTGGCTAGAAGACAGTGCCCTCCTTTTCTTCAGTGCTAGCTAGTTACATCACAGAAACAAATTTCTGAAGCTTTTCCTATGCTGCAGTATTCTGAGCCTTAAAACCAGGTTCCCAGCCAGGCATGGTGGTGCAGGCTGATAATCCCAGCACTTGGGAGGTGAAGGCAGGAGGATCTTGAGTTCAAGGTCACTCTGGGCTACATAGTGAGTCCCTGTCTCAACAAACAAACAAACAACAACAACACAACAGATTTTGTCATACACATGTATAGTGCCTGAAATATAATTCTACTGCAGCAAGATGATTAATTGGAACCTGTACCTGGTTATTTTTTTCCAAGTGTAGAGGCCACATACGTATCCTGAGGAATGACCAAGAACCAACTCCTGACTCAATAAAATACTATGATTAGTCAGTTTAGCAAGTTTGGATAGTTCTATGGAGAGACCTATATAGATTTCTATCTGAATTTGGTAGGCAAAAAATACCTAAAATCTTCAAACCAGAGACTTGCCACTGTGAGGCAAAGTAAGGTGGAAGGCAGCTACAGAGATGAGGAAGAAAGAAGACAACAGCACAGGAGCCCGACAATGTCAAGCAGTGGTTCCCGAATGTCACAAAGATGGGCAGCACCAGGCCCCTCTGGGCCTAACTGAATCCATCATGGTCAGTGTGCCCAGGAATCTGTACTGTAAAAGCTGCTCTGGTGGTTCTGATATGTGGTTAAGGTGGAGATTCCCATGTTTAGAGGATCCACCATAAAGAAACTCTGGCATGATTCTATGTTGATCATATGATTCTAACGAAGGAGCCTCTCTGGTAGGTGCAGTTATTATCCCCATTTTACAGACAAGAATACTGAACAACGGAAAAGCCAGCAGAAGGTAGAGGATGGATTTAAACCCACACAATCTGTCCTCAAAGCCTACAGTAATATTTAATCAGAACTATTAAAGGAAATAAAGCAAGCAAATGAAACATCAAGGCACATGGGAGGAACAGAATAGGGAGAAATGCAAACAAGAAAAATCACTATAGGTATCAGTCAGTCATAGGGATAAGCAGATATAACTTCCAACATAGAGTTAGAAACAGATTCTGTGACATTCTGTTCTTCAGAGCTGTACAAAGACAGCTGAGACCTTACTGAGCACCCGCAGACAAAGACAGAAGCATAAATTGGGTCCAAGAGTCTATACATGAAAAATGCATCAAGATATTTAGCAAATATGCTTAACGTGATGCGACTGTACCCAGCAATGCAGAAAGTCTCAACAAGAAAATATGCTGGGTCTCTAAACATGCTGCGTAATTGAAGTTTTTAATCCACTGTACTTTATTTTCCTACTGTCTCCATGGCCTGCTTTTTGTTTAACCGAGATAACAACCATGATACCATGCATATGTGCCCTTTCCTGATCAAAACCATAATTAAATCAGGATCCGAAAACAAAAAAAATTCCTGCTATTCAGAGCCAGGATACTAAAAGCTTCTTCAGATATGAGACAATTGTGCTGATAGCATCTGGTCTGGACCAAGTCAGGAAAGAAGTGCAATTACAGTCTGTTAGTCTGAAGTTGTTGGCTTGAGGTAAGTTCTCCAAAAAAATCCAATTTTAATGTATTATTGCTGTGGAAGAGACAGCAAAAACCTTCCCCAGCTCTTCTTGAGACCGTTTCATTGTGCTTCTTCTTTCTACGCTCTCTAGAGCTGCCAGGCTGTGCTCACCAATAATTGAGCCTCTAATTGGCAGGTAGAATTTCCCTCGCAGCAGCACAGGCGTCTGAGCTGAGACACCAGGGAGTGTGGCTTTTCCTAAGGCTCAGGGGCCTACAATATTTAACAAGGTGGTGGCTTGGCTCGTGTTGCCAAAGGGATGGCTCCTGTGTGACCCTTCTTTCCAGAGTGCAGTCATTTGGCAGAATTAAAAAAAAAAAAACATTGTGTCCCTCCGGAGATCCATGCTAGGAATCTGGTTGCCACGAAGGCAGCAGCCGGAGATGCTGCAGCAAAAGACCCACCAGTGTTATTATAAAGCAGAAGAGACCAACAACCCAATTAAGTTACAATTAGCTGCACCATTCCGGGTGCTTTTAATCAACGCATTCCTTACCATAAGTCCTAGGGAAGGTCTCAGAGGCAAGGAAGAGGAAGGAGGATGCTTCTATATTCATGCAAATGAATATTTGCTGACTGGTAGGGGTGGAGGGCTGATGGCTGCCCTTGGGAGTGATCCTGACCTGCTCTTTCTTGTTCAGCTTGTTATCTCCCCCAGACCTCCGACCAGGAAGTGCTGTGAAACCACCCAACCACTTGGAGCATGTCCTTGTGCCCTTGTTTTCACCCTACTTCCTTCAGCATCTACCCATGAGCAACTATACAACCTTCTGACTAAAATCTCTTACAGTCTTCATTTTCCAGAGTTGATTGAAGTATCATGAATGACGCTTCACAACCAATCCCAGCCTATGTCTTCAATCCCCAGGGCTCCCCACCAATACACTCCAATTTTTTGTTTCTAGAGCCACACCCTTTGTGGGTCACAGAGTAAGCCTCCAAACCTCCGGTAACCCCGGCCCACACAGCCCCTTCTGTCTTCACCTTCAGTGGCCGCCATCTTTGTTACAAAGATTAATAATCTAGGTTGTAAGTTTATCTCTTCTCTGTGTGTCCTCTTCTCTCTGCCCTCCGCACATTGCTTGCGTGTCTGTCCCAGATATTCAACCTGCAGAAGGAAATAAACACATGGACTAATTTTACCTTACAAATGCTTGCCATCATGGGTGTTTCCCCTAAGCTCTCCTTTCCCTCTGGGCACTAGGCTCCTGTAACATCTATTTCGTTCTCTGTACCAACTCTTCCATCACTTGGGTTTGTTAAAACAACCTGGTCCTGCAAACCACAGTGTACTGGATTCAAACCTCTTTCCCTCTCTCCAGGACAGGTTAGCCTAGCCTAGGTAGGAGCAGATCCACTCTTGACACTGTCCCCTTCTTACTTATGGTGTCATAGTAAGACAGGTAACATAGGGTGAGGGATGCTCCTTTTGTGGTGATGCCATCATCACTGTACACCAATCAGAACTAATCAGAAAAATGGTGTTTTGGACCAATCAGAAACTTACTATTTTCAAACCTTCATTTGCATCTGGTGCTGGTCACAGGACCAATCAGAAGATGCTTTTTCAATCCTTCATCTTCTTGTGAGCACAACCAATCAAAACACACCATTCCTGATCCTTCATTTACATGTAAGAGGAAGCCGAACAAGTTTTTTGATGGGACAGCTTATACATGACTATGCCGAGTGATAGTGTAAAGAAAGGAGCGGGTTCTCTGTGTCACTGTTTTCTTTATTGGCTTCCGTGGTGGTGAGGTTGCTAGAATTCTGCTGTTTTCCACGCTGTGTGGGGAATGTCATCCTACAGAGTCAGCATAAATCTCCATTGGAAAGAACTCAGTCCTAAGAAGGTTCCTAATCCCTGTGGCTCCCTCAAAAAAGATGCATAGCACCTTCCAGCTGATTCCCAACTGGTGGGAGGCGTACATTAAAGTCCCTTTTCTAGCCACTCCTATTTACCCCCTGCAAGTTTTGGTGAAAGAAGTTGGAGCTCTTACAAACTTTATTGTTAGAGAATTTTACCTGCTAGACCTATAGAAGGTCCAAGTTGGAACTCTTATAAACTGTTATTGTTAGAGAATTTTACCTGCTAGACGTATAGAAGGTCTTTAAATTATAATTAGATTTTAGAGATGATTTGGCCTAGCATTTCTCAAAGTATGCTCTGAAGAACTAAGAGATAACATACTGTGAAGACTTTCTTGGGGACAATTAAATCAGGCAAACACCATCTTTTCAGGGCCCTCCTCTTAGAGCTGCCCCAGATATCAGAATATCAACAACCCTGGCCAGTTCTGTAGTAACTAAACCTGGGTGACATTCTTGAACCTAAGATTTTACAAAATTATTTTCAGTTCTGAATTCCCCATCTGGACTCTACCATGTGCGGCACCCACTGAACGAGCTTTATCTCTGGACATCAGGGCTCCAGCATCTACAAAACACAAGAGGCTTGAGTTCACTGCTGCCGCAACCTTTGCCAATACATATGTTTAAAAATGACCTTGTGATTCAGCTGCCAAAATTAATATAAAGCACTCTGTGTGTATTTCAGCAAACCTAAGGAAATTCTGCCTGATTGTGTAGAATGTACAAAGCATTTATCAAAAGGCAGGAAGATTTTTTTTTTTTGGAAAACAAAAACATTCAAGTTAAATCATTCATCTCTGAGATATAATGGTGAAAAGTCAAAGAGATGAGTTATCAACAATTTTAGTTTTATGTATTCAGAGTAAGACAAAACATGTTTTACATATTTTTTCACATGCAAATGCACTTCATGGATATTACAAACACAGATCATACACAGGTTATGAAAATCAGAGATATCTGGATTAATCAATTTTGGGCATGCAGTTTTATCAGGATGTTACCAGCCAATAAAAAAGCTGGACAAATAGCTGCATTTTGTTGTTAGTCTTCCAAAAATACTGCATTGAAATAAAAATTCAACATCAACCAAATATTAAATGGTAGCATTTGGAATCAATACTAAGTTTTTAAATTTGTACCAACAAAAGCGTTCTGAAAAACGTTCAGGGGATCTGCTCTCTTGTTTTGTTTTGAATCTGACTTAATTCTTCCACTCCAGTTAAATATTGCAGATTTCCTCTCCGTGGGACTCTGGCTGATTGCTGAAGGCTTCCAGCCACCTGAGAATGGCATCTGCCCTCCTGTCACCATGCCAACTCCTCGGGAATCCCCCTTCCCCCTTCCAGTCTTCCCTCCGACGTGGGAGACAGCCTCCTCCCACTTCAGGAAGAGCACTATTTCTAATTGCACTTGGTCCCTTTCTTCCTCTTTTGAGTGAGAAAAAAAGGCTGGCAAACAAAATTGTCTTTTTAAAGATGATTTTTGGTGTGTGTGTTTTGTTTTCTCTCTGCTTACTGACGTCTTTGTGCGGTGCAGTGGCTGGGATCCCACTGCATTGACATGGCAACCAGGAAATCAGTCATTCTGAGTTGCCATGGCAACGGGAGGGGGATGGGAGGCGTCCATTTAATCACTGTAGACTGTGTCCCTTCCCGGAAGCCCAAAGAATTTTTAGATAGAAGACATTAGGAAAACAACAACAATAAAGCACCCATTGGCCTCAAGACAGTCTGTGCCCTGGCATCCCAAGGCCCTCTGTAGATCCTGTGTTAAGACCCCAGAAAGCGGAGGTTGTTGCCTTCTCCCTCTGCACAGGCCTCTGGGGACAGTGAGGGAGGGACATCATCCTTTCAACTGAGCACTGAGGTCTGAAGAGGAGGATAGGAGAGCGGCTCTGGCAAAGGAGAACGGCTCTGGGTCTGGAGGGGCGCAGCTGCTCTCGTACTAAGAGGAACCCGGGCTGCGGAAGTGGAGCACAGGCCGCTGTCCCAAGAAAAGCGGAAGTCTTGTTTCCTGTCGCCTCTGCTCTGGGGCTGAAGGTAGTCAGATTTCAAATTGCGGAGAAGAAAGCCAAGCGAGGTTAACCAGCGAGATTACCTTTCAGGGGGAGGATGGTTAGAGTTCTCCATGGGGCAGAATCTTCCACCGTTTATATTTTGTAAAAGACAAAATCCCCCAGCCCCAAACAGATTGGGCTCTTGGATTTATATAGTCTCACCTTTACAGAGTCAAATTCCCAAGAGTTGATCTCATTTCCAGCTCAAGCTCACAGAGCTCCTCTAGACTTCTGAAAGGCTTCTAACAGCAGTACTTTATAGACCAGGAGATCTGAATGTGACTCGATGAATGGCAATCTTTTTTCTTTGTAAAATAACTGGTTAGCTTGAAAATACACCCTGAATCTATCTCCTCTCCTTGCCTTCATGACTGGACATCCTAAACCCAGCAACATGGCTCTAAATTCTATAGGAGCCTCCTGATCGTTCTCCTAGTTTCCATTTGGTCTACTTACATTCTGGTCTTACTGCAGAATTAGGCAGGTCACGCCCTGTTCAGGGCCTTCCCCACCCCACCCTGTGGTTGAGCATCACACTCAGAATATAAATACAACTCACAGAATCCCGCCCAGTTTGGTCTCTTACCACCTCCCATCCTCATACCCTTCTGGTCTCCATTTGCACATTCTGCTCTACCCACACTGACTTCCTGACCATCCCTGAACTCATCTGCTCATTTCAAGGACTGAACAATTCTTCCCGAGATATTAGGAGGCCTCTGTCATTTCCTCCAAGTCCCTGTCCAAGTATCTCCTCCTACAGGAGAACTTTTGTGAAAGCCTGGAAAGAGCAGGCATGCAGTCTGGAGGGGGACCAAGGGACTACTTATGGAGGTATGCACAGGGTTTAGAAAGCCAACTCCAAGATCTTCTGCAGCACCTCAGCTTAAAGGGGTTCACGGTGCAGGCTGCTGAGAGAGCTGCAGTCCTAGAGAGCAGAGCTGTTGGAAGAGCAGTGGTTTCCATGGAAGAAAACCGGGACCCGAGTAGAATGCTCAGAAGCACATTCACCTCACTCTCCACCCATTGGCCAAACACAGATGGAATCCGGAGGCTCAGGGGGTTAGGTGCATGGAGTGTTGCTGCATAACCAATGGACCTGCAAAGCAGAGTCCATTGAAACAGTAACATTAATGATCTCTTACAGTTGCTATGGATCAGGAATTTGGGAGCAGGTCATCTTGGTATTTCTAGCTCTGATCTCACTTGAAATTACACAGAATACCAGTTCTCAGCCTGGAATGTTGGTGAACCCAGTCAGGTTAGAACTCTGGGAGGCTGAGGCAGGGGATTTCAAGTTTGACCCCAGCCTGGGCAACTTAGAGACTTAGGACATGCTGTTTAAAAAAACATAAAAGGGTTGGGGATGTAGCTCAGTGTAAATACCCTGGCTTCAATCCCCAGGCTAACAGAAGAAAAAACAAAAAGTCAATCTTGCTGGACCTGGTGGTGCACATGTATAGTTCTAGCTACTTAGAAGGATGAGGCAAGATAGAGACCATCCTGGGCAACTTAGACTCTATGTCAAGATTTAAAAAACAATAGGTGTCAGGGATGAGACTCAGCAGTAGAACACTTGCCTGACATATCTGAGGTCCTGAGTTCAGTCCTAGGTATAAAAAAGTCAGCTGGTGAAAGCTTGCCAGAGTTGGAGGGTTTGTTTCCAAGGTTTCCACTTAGATGTCTGTTCAGTTGGCACTGACTTTCAGCAGGAGACCTATGACCCTCTCCAAAGGGCCTCTCCACGGAGCTGCTTGAGCTTCCTCAAAACATGGCACCTGCATTTCCCCACAGCTGGTGACTAAAGGGGCCAAGGTGGAACCTATGGTACCTTTTGTGACCTACCCTTGGAAATCCACCTGTCACCTTGGCTACCTTGATTTGTAAGTCACACAGGCCTGTCTGAGTCAGTGTGGGAAGACACCACCCAGAAGCATGAGTAGCACAAGCCAAGAAGAATTGGGGGCCATCTTAAAGACACCATAGCCACATGAAACATTTGAAAGGCAAAGTGTAGGAGAGAGATCAGACCAAAGAGAAATCAGAAAATAACCATGCTTCCATGACCATCCTATTTTAAAAATTGCCTGAAAACCTGCCACTCTATTCCCCTTTACTCTGTATAATTTCTCTTCAAAGGATTTAATATTACCTGACATATTGTATATTTATCCAGT